CTGCTGAAAATGAGACACGCCTCTCCTAAGGTTCAGAGCTATCAGAATTTGAACGGGTTTTCTTTGTTGCGTTAGAAAATGGGAACAGCGCCCTAAAAAACAGAAGTAGATTAGCCAAGTCATCGCTAAAATAGTGGCCTAGATTAAAATCCTGATATTGTACTATGCTACTCCCACGTTCTAGAGGTGTGTATACAACACGGCCTTCTGCTCTTACCTTACACAGTCAATATCCACGTGCGAACGTCTTCCATACTGTGTGCTTTGGGATTTTAAAGACTTGGTAGCTGCTGGAATAAGAGCTAACCTGTTTGTGTATGAAGAAAGGGGCACTTTAGAGGCAGAACTGGAAGACAGTAATTTATCAGCCTTCAGACCTGTTTATTATGTTAGAGTTTTGTCAAGACTCCAGTATGGCAGGTTGTATGTATTTAGGGGGAGTACTTGGGTTTTCATTGTTCTGAGCTGAGTCCTCCTGCTACAGTGGAACAGAGTAGCATTGTTATGGGAAGTTAAAGACTGTTACATCAAATAACTTCCAGCAACATACCTGCTTCTTGCAACCTGTTTTTCCTTTGACATTACCTTAATCCAGATGGTAAGGTTTAAATTAGCTTAAAAATAATTCCCTTCTGTAGGGAGAGTTAGCTTACAAACTTATGTGGAAAGAAAGGGGGGGGAGCAGGGGGAGAAAGCAGGGAACTATACTGTAATATTTGTTTTCTTACAAAGATTATTGTTTTGGTTTAGGTCCGATTTGCTGCTCTGCTTGCATTGGTAGAAGTTGCACAAAAACTGAAGGAGAACTACCTGGTCCTGCTACCAGAATCTATTCCATTCTTAGCTGAGCTCATGGAAGGTAATGTTCTAAAGTGGCTTTAGTGCAGGCAGACAGCTGGCCTACAACCAAAAAGGAACAAGGGCCACTTACTTCAAAGATTCAGACAGGCTGATTGCTAAATTTCTATAAATCTTATGAATTGGTATACAGTAGCTTAAACTGTGCAGGATGCAGACTGAAATGGATTGTATCCAACACACTCCTAAAGTTCAGTTAAATTACGGTAGTTTCTTCAGCAGTACAGCCTGTGCACATCTGTCCAGTTGCATGTTTTAGATCAGTGTTACAGTAGAAATAATTTGCCCAAGTCCTGAGTCAGTGCCAAAATATTTTTTTGATAATTTCATACCTGCTGTTTGAAGACAGTTCTAGCCTTGATAAGTGATGAAGCCTTCCTAGGGTAGCTTTATAATCACTATTCTACTTAATTCCTGCTTTATTTCTTTTCTAGATGAATGTGAAGAAGTTGAACAGCAGTGTCAGAAGACAATTCACCAACTAGAAGTCATTTTGGGAGAACCCCTCCAAAGCTACTTCTGAGCTTATCCCCTTTATTTTCAAAAATGTGCTTCATGTGTGCAAGTGTAATAGGCAATCTGTATTCTAATTTTTATCAGAGCTAAGATCATAACTTTTTAATAAAATATTGTAAGAATCTGGCTTTATCATTTTTGGATGGTCTAGGGACTTTTTGTATCGCTTTTCCTTAACTGCTCTTAACAGTGGGAAACAAGCAAGCTATCAGCAAATTTTGATAGCTGGCACAAACAGTGTGGCGTGTGAGACTCACTGAATTCCACCGTGCTTGGGGGACACAGTTACTGTCCCTGGGGAGGGGCTCCCGTGCTACAGTGTAAGCGTGGTACTCACTGGACCAGTGCACTGCCATCTTATGTATCTATCTGCCTTTCATTTTTAGGGAAGTAAAAAGTAAACCCACTGAAGATACTGAAAAGGAAGTTAGAAGAAACTGGAGCTTACAGGAGCAAAAGCTGTTTTTTAGTCTTCAGAGACTTACTCACCTGAAGATGAAGAATAAATTGCTTGCTGTGTTAATGAATTTACCAAAAAATTCACCACCCATTTTACACCAGGAGGTGCTGGTTCATTACAGTACTAGTAAGAAAGAAAGGCAGTCAGATTCTGTAAAGTATGGTTTAAAATGCCACAGGTTAGAACTAACACTACAGGGGATACTCTTCCATCCCATCAGATGCTAGGAATGGGCCTCTGTTCAGGGTGCAGCACGCCATGCAGATCCCAGCTGTGGAAAAGTTACCCTATGGTGGTCACTCATGCTCTTACAGGAATTTTGTAGAAGAATTTCGTAGAACTATTAGTGATGTCTGCTGTCTAAAAAAAGGATGTTCACATGAGAACTTCCTTCTGAACTCTTAGATAAGGGCACACAAGTGGTGCCATTGGCCTTACCAAGGGGGAGCTGCCTACCAGCTCCTCTGTTAGAATCAGCCAGCTGAGTTTATCCTGCAGCCGAGGGATGTACACATACAGCACATCGCTCCTGAAGGCCACACCAGCACAGCCAAAGCCTAAGGCTATGCACATTAACTGGTCAGTGGATCGCTAACTCCTTGATGTGGAAATGGTCCTCCGATCAGGATCACTATGGCACCTCAGAGATACTGGTAAGATAAGTGAAACAAGACAAAATATAGACCAAAACGGGATCGTAGCTACTCAGCTACGCTTGGAGAAAAGCAGAGTTCACAATTGTTTTTATTTATGCTTTTTATACATTAAACTTGGTAATTTATCTTACACAGTTTTTTAGGGTACATCTTATTCTTGAAATTGCTTCACTCTTTCAGCAGCTCTTAAGATAAATAGGAATATTCCTCAGGCGTGTACTGACAGCCAGGAGCAACTTATTTTTAAAAAGAGTATAAAAATTAAGACTGACATTTGCATGGAAAACTGATTGAATAGGAACAACTCCATGGTTTCAGATCAACAGTATTTTAACACAAGACCGGAAAAGGATTCATTCTCTATTCCACTGATGAACATCCGAGTCACATCTCAGCTGAAACCCTGCCTGGAGTACCTGCATTCACTCATTTTTTAAAAATGATAACCACAAACATCTACTTCAGTCCCTAAGCAATCTCAACTCAGTAAGGAGCCATTTCAGATCAAACAAGCTTTCAAAAGTTCATGCAATTGGAACCAGCTAAATCATTTTAATTTGTTTCACTTTGGCAAACTAAAAGCTAGAAATGCTGCCGTATGTTTCATTTAAGCCACTTACTTACTTAAAAGCAGGAGCTGTCATAACCACATGTGGCAGAGAAGGTACTACTGCAGCAGCAGGCTAAGAAGCAAGATGAAATTCCTCCTTGCCTTTTGCTAGAACTGATGGGTCAACTGTTTGCTTAATCCAACCTCAGTAAAAAGATTATAGTTGCTAATAAGCAGAAGACCATATTTCATAATTCTATTCTAAATGAATTATCAATGTCCCTTTTGGAGTGAATAATCATGTCTTCAGATCCTATTTCAGTCTTATTTCTGCTTCAAATATTGAATGTATGCTATCAAGGAATGCTGAGTAGTAGTTTAACTTCTTAAAAATACCGAGTGCAATTGTTAGACACATTATGATGCAGTATTTTCATATTGCTAGGTTCAGTAATACAGGAGCTTTATCTGAGCAAACACTTACTTAGCTTGCCAGGAAACTAAAGGAGGATTTAATCTCGCAGGCAGCAGTTCTGGTACTCCCCTAACTCAGAGAGGCAGATGCAGAAGCCTAGATAGATAAAGGCAAGCTCAGCACGAGCCAGCACCTGTTTGTATTTATTTGACAAGGAGGCACTCTCATTAGAAGAGGTTTAATTCTTGTAATAGCGATCAAAAAGAACTACCAGCTCCTCACATCTAACAATTGAATATCTCCTGTGATTTCCAATTCGTTGATCTTTTCAAGCTGTTTAAAACGATGCTTGTATTCCAGAATGTGAACACCATTAACAGCAACTTTGAACTGGTGGGTGTCACAAAAAATGATCAGCTGAAAAGCAAGAAGAGAAAGAGTTAAGTTTTAAGCTCAGGTAAGACATGAAAAGCAACCTGATGATCTAGCCTAGACTTGGGCAAGCCCAGTTTCTGTTACCAAGAATGTTTCATGCAGAAGAAACATTTAAAAAAGTGGAACTTCAAGAGCATTCATAGAATCATAGAATAACTCAAGTTGGAAGGGACCCATAAGGATCATCGAGTCCAACTCAATTAAATTAAAATTTGTTCTAAGCACCGGCTGAATTCTTCCAACCATTTAAAAAGAAAACTGTCATTAAAACCAAGTTAAATCTCTCCTCCCAATGCTCCCATTTAATCCTAAATATTCTCACATTGACATGCACTGAAATGCAGGGATGGCAGCTTTATTTAAATCTTTATTAGTGACATGACATTTCAGCACCACTGCTAATCCTTTTGGCAGAATTACCAGTTTGATGCTATATTTCAGTTAATCTTACCTCAAAGTACATCCCTGGACTGAAAGGGAAATCGTCAACTTCCTTTTCTTCTTCTCCCCAGCTGTCACAAAGGTATGAGTTTCTTACAAAAACTTTATTTTTCACTCGGGGATTCAGATGTAATGCAATGTCCTTTGAGTCACTTGATTTCAGATTTATCACAAAGCTGGAAGATATTTTTTAAGAGTTTACTATACCAAAGGTTTATAAACACGATGCAGTAGTCCATGCTATATATCAAGCCCTTAGCCGATACTCAGAACTGTTCTGGAGCCAGGGCTATGATTGACCTGAAGAACCAAGCAAGCAGGTAACGTGCAATTGTCTCCTTCACACAGAAACCTTTGCTGGAGGCAGCAAACGTAGCATGACCCTGCTAGATCTGCTTCATCACTCACAGCTTTCTGTTCATGTCTCAGCAAGGAGACATTGAGCCAAGTGTTGCTCGCCTACAGCACCAGGAAGCAGCATTCTCACAGAAACATGTGGTGCTACTTGCTCCACCACCTCTTTCTTTTAACTCGGGCAGTGGAGAGTGGGAGGCTTTGTTTTACCTAAAGACATTATATTCCTTCTGCCAACAAACTGGTTAGACTCTAACGAAAAGTGTGAGTATTTCCTCTGTACATTTAAGACTGGTGGGACACCATGCATGCAAAGTGTTACTTTGTAGGCAGCTGTGCTGGTTTTGGCTGGGATAGAGTTAATTTTCTTCAGAGTAGCTAGCGTAGGGCTCTGGTTTGGATTTGTGCTGAAAACAGTGCTGATGATAACACAGGGAAGTTTTTGTTATTGCTGAGGGGTGCTTACACAGAGCCAAGGCCTTTGCTGCTTCTCACCCCACCCCACCGGCGAGTAGCCTGGGGGTGCACAAGAACTTGGGAGGGGACACAGCCAGGACAGCTGACCCCAATGGACCAAAGGGATATCCCATACCATATGATGTTATGCTTAGCATATAAAGTCAGGGGAAGAAGGAAGGGGTGGGAAACACATTCAGAGTGATGGTGTTTGTCTTCCCAAGTAACAGTTACGTGTGATGGAGCCCTGCTTTCCTGGAGATGAACACCTGCCTGCCCATGGGAAGTGGGGAATGAATTCCTTGTCTTGCTTTGCTTGCGTGGGTGGCTTTTGCTTTACCTATTAAACTGCCTTTATCTCAACCCAGGAGTTTTCTCATTTTTGCTCTTCCAATTCTCTCCCCCATCCCACCGGGTGCAGAATGACCGAGTGGATGTCTGGTGCTCAGTTACCAGCTGGGGTTAAACCATGACAGCAGCATAACTCTACCCAGGCTGAATTAATACTCTGCCATCTCAGACATGTCCACAGCACAGAGTTCCTGAAGGGGAGCTCTGGAGAAGAGTGATCAGAGGGAAGAATCATCCAAATTCAAATCAACGCTTCAACCTGCAGAACCAAAACCACTCTTCAAGCAAAGTGTATGCTGAAGCACAGACATTTCCTCAGCTCCATTCTGACCATGTTGCGCTCCCCTCCTTCCCCCCCCCCTTTAAATCATGTTGGGAAAATGTCGTCTTTGCAACCCGTTGTTCCTAATTTGCTATCAAAATTATAGCTTATACTACTCTACCAGCTTTCATCACTCAGTTGTCACGTTAGGCACCTGCATGCTTCTACAGTCCCCGAGGAGGCCGTCAGAGTACTCAGAGAAACATTGCAACATGCAGCATTTGAGCACACCAGCAACTCATCTGACTCATTTACCATCTATTTCTGCCAGTTCCCTTACTCTTGGATCTCTTTAGAATAAAAGCTGTCTGTGTAAGATATGTATGCTCACTTGCCCTGCACAACAGAAACCCTGAACAGACACACAAACTTGTGGATCATGCAGATTTAGCAGGTAAGACACTCAGGTTTTACCTTCACTTTTCACAATGGAGCTGTTCTTTAAGTCCTCCCTAAAGCAGTATCCTGCAAGTTCCCAAGAAAAATGCACTGTAGTTGCAGATGATTGCAGATGCAAAGTTGCAAGTGAGTAAGGATATACTGAGGCAATGGAAAAGCCTACTCATTCTCAAGAGTAGGTCAGTTAAACAGCAGAAAAAGTCAGTAACACTTACCTCTTTGGTTTTTTATTCACTTCTCCTTTAATGGCAACTGCGCGTCCTGGATGAAGTGCAGTATCAAGTTTCCCAACATAAGGAACTCCCTAGAAGTACACCACCAGTAAAAATTTTGACTGTGACTTACTTTTTTCAAGCTGAGCTTTACTATGGCAGGAAGAGATCTGGCCTACAATTATGAATCTGCACTTACAGCTAAACTTATTCCTACCAACATGTCCTGGGACACTAATACTATAGTGGAAAAGTTACACTGAGGTAAACATATCAATGTGTTGGGCTTTTTCTTTAGACTACCACCTTCGGTTCAAAATAAACATTATTTACAACTACTTCTGCCACCACTAATGGTGGAAGAGGGGGGAAAAAAAGTAAGCATGAAACTCTGCACATAATTATTCAGATACAGACATCCTGACCTCTCCTCTCTGAAAGCTTCAGTTATGCTTTAAATAAGACTCATGCTAGGTGTTGTGTAAGTACTAGAAATAGGGTCACTGAGTATTCTCTCCTCCTGGCACCAGTTCATAATGACAAATTTTATTTACCTTTTTTCATGTGTTAGAAGTTTTGATCAGGGAAAAGGAGTGAATGAAGAAGTTGGCTGGTTTTTTTTTTTAAGTACATCCACCACTCACAAATGACAATATTGCATGTTATTTGGTTTTGAAAAGATGACTGAAGAAGGCAGACTGTCAAGTGACACAGCAACTAAGATCATGGCACTCACTGCAACTTCACCTTCTCCATAAATTCTATTCTATATTATTGGCTTCCAAACCCTTTTCACCTAGAGCATGGTCCTTACTCCAGTCTGGATACTGTTCACTTGTACAACTTTTTGCAAAAAGATGAGCACTCACTTCTAGCTAGGTGCGAGCTCCAACCCTAAGGTGTGATGCTAGCGTCTGGCCACCCGAGGTGTACACAGGATAAGCATGGATCTGTCAGCAAGAGCCAGATGTAGCCAGACAGGTTCTGGGATACACACATTAACATAAGGTGATGTGGCATAATATGACTGCAGAATACTTTCATTTTGCAGATATTCCCTAAGGTGGAGAAAGCTAAGTATGCTTATTTGAAAAAAAGTTTTTAATGTAATTTGGTCTTTTAAAACTTCAGGAGGTATCCCCAGTTTTTATTTCTCTGTTGATGGCTGTGGATGCTGAATTTATATTTTGGGTTTTCTATATGCTTTAACAAATAGCCTCACTTTTACCAGCAGCAGAAGAGAGGATTACTCTCTACAAAACCTCACTGATGATCATCTTCCAGTAGATTCTCAATTCCCTTGTTCTGTGCATATTTTTTCACAAGTAACAGAGATGGTTTTGATTTTTTTTACTATTCACATTTGCCACAAGTCTACACAAGACACTTACAAATTCTGAACCATCTGGCATTTCCCCCTACAAGAGAAAACAAATAACATTAACTAGTTTATCAGACAACAGGGAGATTCTTTCAATGTTTTTACAAACATACATACATTTTCTGTGTTTATCTTTGTTATTCCTAGGGATGATAGCTGAGGGCCTTGTAGAGGCTGCAGAGAGAGAGATATTTAGACATCATCGCGAACATCTTAGAACTTTAACATGAAGTTAGTTTAGAACCCGTGCTGCTTTGAAGGGTCTACTGTTAACATGGAAATTTAAGGCTATGGTAAAGAAAAAGCCACATCAAGATTTCTTAAGACCACCTCATTACAGTTTGAATCTTTATTTAACAGTCAGAGCACTGATAACCCCTTCGCATTTGAGGGTAACCACTGAGCTTTCCTCACTGGGGTAGGAATAACAGCAGGGCAGGTCCATGTACAGGGCCTTGGGATTTTAAGCAGCCCCCTGCACCCCTGTCCCTTCCCACAGGAAGGGTGTATGAGCAATGTGGCCATGCAGTGATACAGTTCCAGCCTAGCCCTGGCAGATTGTATCTTCAGCTTGTTTATTTCAATGAAAGCCTCTCTCTTCCTCCTCAGAAGATTATATTAGAAGCAAAGACAAAAAGGAAACAATTACCCCTCTCCATTCCTTTCTTCCCCAAAGGATACAGCATCAGCAACCACAGACTAAAGCTACTCTGTTTCATTTTGTGCTTAGGACAGAAACCAACCTACAGGACCTGGCAGCCCGCAAGCTCTTCTCGAAGTCAGTCCTCCAAGACCAAGACCAGACCGCTCTGAAGTAAGATTATTCTGGCAACATGCCCAAGGCCAAGTGATGGGGTCCACAAAAGTCTGTACATAGGCTTTGCAAATGATCCGTGATTAGATCTATCTTTAAAGCTTAGACCCCATTTTGTTCAGGCCCAAATCTCCACTTCCCATCAGCAGCTATTAATCTGCTGACCCGAGTTAGACCTGACACTTGCCAGCAAGAGATCCAAGCTTTGCCCACAATGCAGCGAGGATGGGGCAGAAGAGACCCCAAACATTACACAGGAGGAGGTAGGCTGCCTTAGTGAGTGGCAGGAAGAACGGGAAAAGGCATTCACCTTCAGTATCCCCCTGGAATTTATCACCTTCCGTTCCTGCTCTAGAGGTCTCACCCTTCCCTTCCAGAGCAGAAAGATGTCTCCTTCTGCTCAGGCAAAAACATGCTGTTCAACTCCTCCCTGTTGGTTTACTTTCTCCAGCAGAGCTGGCAGCTGAGAGGAAGCACAGCACTGCCTGCACTTTAAATTCACCGCAGTTTGATCCAAGTGCAAGTCAAGCCACAAAGTCTTCGAGAAAGGACACCTCTTCTCACTCCCCAGAAATAAACATACACTCCTAGTTATGATTTCAGTCAACAATTCAGTCATTTTAGCAGGAAAAAACAGAATTATGTGCACAAGCAGTTCCAGCTGTGACTGAACTTGGCATTTGGAAGCCAAGTAACAAGTTTCAGCCATGGCTGAACTTGACACTTAGAAGCATTGAATACTGAGAGTCCATTTGCAATATTTGAAAAGTCTAATCCATTCCTAGATCCAGCAGCCAAGCAATTCTTATACCATGTCTCCTGTAAACTTTGTCACCCTTTTGCCCCTAACCTCAAGACTGAAACGGGAAGACAAAGATCCTCATGAGACTCACATGTTGAAACAGTGGGGAAAAAAGTCTTGTTACGGATGTTAGGCTATGTGGCTGCTTTTCTCTACTTCCTTTTCACCATAAATCCTACTCTGTGGTTTAGCAAGACAGAGAAAAGGAATAGAACAAGTCAGCTGTATATGTAACTTACTTTAGAAACAAATTCTATAGTTTTGATCTGCACTTTGCCATATATTCCAAGAGTATTTATTTTTTCAAGACTAATTCTGTGGTTGTAGAGCAGCAAGTGCTTCTTGTTTACAGACACCTAAAGAGACAGGAAATAAAATAGGAAAATTGTTTTAAACATACATTACACCAGCCATGTATCAAATTGTATGCATATATCTCTGTTTTACACTGCTTTGGTACAGAAGCAGGGAGCATCCTAGAAATTTCAGAGCAACTACGTTCAGTTCATCTGTGATTCAGTCTCTTTCCATCACTATGAGGGAGATTTATTTGACTACACTAAAATTTGTATTTCACACCTTTTGTTTCTATCGCCCAATCATTTGCCCACGTGGTGTTACCAATCTAATAGAATCTATTATTGCAGTCTAACAGAGCAAGACAAACACACCTCAGATGTTTCCTCCAAGGACTGTCCTACACTGGGCACAAAACAGGTTTATCCTAAGGTCAGCCCTTTGCACATAAGAAGGGAAGGGTGGAGTAGCCATTAGCCATGGCAGGAAGTTACTTGCCTACTCATCCAACTTAGAGGGAAGCAATGCAAAATTAAAGGTCTGATTTACTTAGCACCTCTTTAAAGAAAAGCTTCTAAATGTTTCTGTAGTTAGACTATATCTAGGTAACAGAGAAGCCAAGGCTCTCAACTATTTATTCTAAGTATACAAAATACCTCTGTTGTATTGGGCAAACAACTAGCTACAGATAAAGAATCAACCCAGACTCACCTGGAATTTATCCTTTAAAATCATGATGACAATCTCAAATGACTTCCCTTTTTGAAAGGGCATCTCATAAGTAATCTCCTCCCAGCCCCATTTTTCCCTCTCCAGTGTGTTGCAAACAATGCAGCCAGACCTTTTGAAGCGGGGGTTGAAATGAAATGCCACGTCAGCTCGAGGCTTTACACTGTTGCCACACTGCAAATCCACCTGGAACCTAATCATAAAAATAAGACAAACCACATTCAGCTCAGTCGGTCAAGAAATCATCTAAGAGCTTGATACACTTGTCTTTTACTGTGGAGCCTCAGAACAGGCAGACACAATGAATGTTGTTGGATATGGAAAAAACCCGAATTTGTCCAACTCCTACATATTTGTGAATGGTTCTCCCATCATTTATTGCAATGAATTAAAATATTTAAGTATATATTCAATGGTCATCATTCATATCATGTAAGCTCCTTCCTTACTGTGTGTTCACCACCTTTCTTCCCATCATCTTCAAATAAAATAACCGAAGGAACCTTGGGCAAAGTCAGGGAACAGAACCCCCATACTAGCCACATGCACAAGTTCAAACCCCATATCCCAGTTTAAGTTAATTCCTTCACGCAACACAGTCAGTTATCAAATTTGTTAGTCTCAGATAATCTCTTTAGACAAGCTGACATATACCATGACAGGGAAAAAAAAATTGCCAAAGCAGGCAAAGCAAAAAGAGAGAGGATCAGCAGAAAGAAAAAAATCAGTTCATCCTCCACTTCTCATCACAAAGCTTTCATTAATCACTTAAGCCTGTATTCATATATTCACTCTGACACTATCACAAGGATTTAGATCAAGCTTTTGTGTGCCATCATAAATAGGACCCCTGGAAATTTATCCATTACATTATTGTTCACATGGTGACACAGCAAAAAGTGACGCCATAGCCACTACCTGTCTGCATCATCTGGAACAGTCCCATGTATCACAATCAGCTCTCCAGGAACAAGTTCATCAAGTATCGTCCCAACATATGGAATGATCTCGAAGAGGGGGAAAAAAAATAGGAAAAAAAAAAATATTCAAACAGCATGTTGTGATGGAGGCAAAAAAATCCCACAATAGTCTTAAAAATAATATTCTAATAATTATGTGGTGGTCTAGCACATTAAAAGAAACACAACTAGCACATCATTTAAAAGAAACAGTAGAAAAGCAGTAAATACCCACCACAACACAAAGGAAAAACCCAGCACATTTTCATATATGAAAACCAAGCTTCTCAGGTAAGATTAAAACTAGAATTTCCAGCCTCCATTCCTAGCTCTCAAATGAGGAATGGCAATATGTTATCATCTCACTTTTAATAGAATATAAAGCAGATTCACTTCAAATTAGGTCATTGCCAAGGGCTGACTATTACCAGCCCTTTGCTGGTAGCAGAAGGCACCTTCCACAACCCTTCTGACCCCAGACTACAGCAGCTGCCTTTTTGCTTGTTCTTGCTCCATTATGGAAAACAGTGATGGGAAAAGAAGTGACTATGTCACAGAGCAGAGTGTCTTCTTAGTAAAAACTACAGGACAAACACAACAAAATACCCCACCCTAATGAGCTGAGAATGGCAAGGTGCACTGAAATAGCCCTGTTCAGGTGCCTCAGTCTTTACGGTATCTATGGTATGCAATCTAGTTAAAAGCCTGCCTATTTCTTCTGGATTAATAGCTGGAGAAGGTAACACATGCATGTTATGCTAAACTGAAATGGCAACAAGTAGTAGTTGTTGAACCATATGAGGGGACATGTCAGTTAAAATAAAAGCCCCAAACACCCCAGCACAGCTCTCTGGCAAAGGCTCAGATGTGCTGACTGAAGCCCTATCCTGACCATCATCTGGTGCATCCAGAATTTCAGGGAGGGAAGGGGAGCACCTTAATAGAAAACTGTGGAAGTTCACAGGAGACTGATCAAAAAGCAAAGCTATAAGTTTGCATGTCATCACATGTGCTTAGATTGAAAAAAGAAGCAAATGGTGGCAAATGTTGCATTTGCTCTCGTTAACAGACAAAAATTTCTGCCAAGGTTGTTTTTTGTATTTTTTTCCCAATAAAAATCCCTGATCTATGGAACAGTGTATAAGATTTGAGGACATCTTTGAAATGAAACATCAATTGCAAACAAGAGTTCCAGTAATTTAACAACAAAAAATGAACAGACTAGAAATACTACTCTTGAATGGAATATTGGACAATAAAAGGATAAGTTAAGATATTATATATCATGCAAAACATGAAAATATAAAAATGGGATGTGCTTGCTGACATCTGTTTTTGTGAATTTGTGAGGAGGAGAGGAATGACAGGAAAAACTGTCTAAATCCAGTGCGTTGATCATTTCTGCCAGTAGATACACATCCTTTTCTGCCCTCTCTCCACTTCCCTTCTTAGCTACCCACACACTGCACAAAACCGAATTTGCAGTCATCTTCTACATCAGGCGAAACAGACTTAAAGAACTTGCTTCTCAACCATAAGCTCACAAATGGTCAAGTTGTTTTGTCTTGTGTATTTTTACTGGCTTAAGCAGGTGCAGTAGAGGAAGAAATTAAATGAACGTGAAAATAAGTGTTGAAAGTGAAAGAATAAAGAGGCTGAAATCCCTTTGCTTCCTGGTAGTAACTTGGTTCCTTAATATACAAGCTGTACACAAGAAGCTCAATTTTATTCAAAGAATAAGGACGATATTAATAAATAAGAAAAAACATGTCTTGATTATTTTAACACACTGCTCCTGAGGGGTAGTAGCTGAGTAATGCAGTAGAGTAATAAATTACTGGTTCAGTCTCCAAAGACAAACCAGAGAAACATACAGACACAGGCCAGGGATGCTGGGACTTAACTACTCTAGTGAATCACAATTATTTACCCCTGGAAGAGAAGCTGTGGCAAAAAAAAATTTCTTTACATTCAAAAGGATACATTTATTTAGGAGAAAAGAAGGTTGGCCCATCAACTGTTCAGAAGCTCGGACATGGAATCTGCAAGGCCACAATACAGCATTTCCTGGGTGCAATACTACAGATTTAATGAGGTTTTGTCATCACAGAATGTGCCTGCAATTTCCTCACATCTCAAGATGTTCTTCTACTAATTTTTCCTCATATAATAAGAGTAATGCTTGTGACATCGTATAATCTACCAGCATCCTGGCTCTCTTCCAGACCTCCAAAAACTACCTCTGAAGCCAATTGGTCAATGTCAACTGAGTTTGAGAGGTCTCAAAGATCAAGCTCTCTCTAATATCTGCCAGTTTTCATAAAACGAGAGGACAGATTATGGTCTTATAGAGGAAAGGACTGTGACAACACAGCTTTCATCTAGCTTGCTGGGGAGTGGACAGCTGCCCCATGATAACATTTCTTGCCAGAGGAGTCGAGTAAAGGGCATAAAGAGGAAAGCAGGATTTTCTGGATGATTCAAAACAGTACAGTAGTGAAGAAATACATCTCAGACTCAAACCTGTAATAAAGCTCTTAAGTTTTGCCGCTCATGGAACGATTCACTGAAATAGTGAATTTTTCATAGCCTGCCCTCCTCCATCCGTACTAAGTTCATCTTGTGGTATCACACAGGTGATAGAATCACAGAAGGGCTGAGGGTTGGGAGACACCTCTGGTGTCAATGCCTTGCTCAAAGCAAGGTCAGATAGAGCAGGTTGCTCATGGCCTTGTCTGGAGATTGTCCTGAGATCATCAGCACAATCTTTCCCAACTCTGTATCTATATTCTAATCCCAAACACTCACTCTTATTCCCACTTTAGGCTCTTGACCCCTAAGCACTAGTTTACCCCTTTATATTCTCCAGCCTGGTCTTGTCACCCATCATACTCATCAGTCTCCTTGTAGCCACCCAATTTTGCTGAACTCTTACTCTCTCCCTTACATAGATTATTTGTCCTAAATACCTCCTCTCTCAACAAAATCCCCATCTACAAACTTTCATCTTCCCTTTCCTTTTGCAGTTAAGACCTTTCATTGTCCACTCTCCACACAGCTTTCCTTCCTCTCCCAGCTGGGTTCTTGTGAAGAAGGTTGAAGTTATTCCCCCATCATCTCTAACTCTATCCACTTTGCAAGCAGTGAACATATAGTGGGATTGAACAATCAGATTCCCTGAGGGCACAGGTGTGTATCACTGCAAAACTGCAATAGATAAGCAAGTCCTGTGCAGATCTGTGCTACCGTACACTCCATATAGATACATTACAGACTTTAATATTTGTAAAGAATTCTAGCACAGAATGTTAAAAATACTGTTTCCTGCAGGCTCAAAAGAACTACCTACCTCTTTAAAGATACAATGAAAAACACAGCTCCAGCCCACCCCTTCAGCCACATGCTAGTGTGAGGCCACTGTCCCAGATCATGACAATACTAGAGCTTTTCAGAGAAATCTCCAGACTCTCAGCTAGGCAAACAACATTCTGTCAAATTCACTCTCTGCAATTGCTGAATAATTTTAGTTCAAGTCTTCTCTACGAAACAGGATTTATTATAAGGTGTATAGGGTCTGGCTGAGACAGTTAATTTTCCCCCATAGCAGCCCTCATAGTGCTGTGCTGGATATTGGTAGCTAGAGACATGCTGGTAACACACCGGTGGCGTGGCTACTGCTGAGCAGTGCCGGCACACATCCAGGCTCTCTCTCCAACATTTCTCACCCCCCTCAGCAGTAGGATGCTGGGGGTGGGCAAGATCTTGGGAAGGGACACAGCCAGGACAGTTGGCCCAAACTGACCAAAGGGATATTCCATACCATATGACATCTGCTCAGCAATAAGAAGCTGAGAGATAGGGGGAGGAACTGTGGGCATTGGGGTTTTTTTGGTTTTTTTTTAAATGTTTTTCTTCCAGAGCAACCGCTATGCGTACTGAAGCCCTGCTTTCTGGGAAGTGGCCAGACATCACCTGCTGATAGGAAGTAGAGAATAATCTTTTGCTTTGCTTCTGCACGCAGCCTTTTGCTTTTGTTGTATTAAACTGCCTTTATCTTGACCCATGAGTTTGGGGTTGGGTTTTTTTTCCACCTTATTTTTCTACTCTCCCTGTCCTGCTGAAGAGGGGAGTGATAGATTGGCTTGGTGGACATTTGGCATGCAGCCAAGGTTAAACCACCACATAAGGTAAGATATCAATTATCAAAAAAGGTTCCAAGTTTAATTGTTCAGACTGAAGTTACAAGCACCACCACCAAAAAAACCCCACGTTTCACAGGGCTGTCAGGCACCACCCATGTTTACAGAGAACTAGGAGTGAAAACACTGCTTATCATATTTTCACCTTCAATCCAGCACATTCTGCAAAAAAATGGCAGAGGTCCACATAAGCTGCATATGAAAGAGGATTACCCTCCAAGGGTGACAGAACTTACTTCCTGTTTTGGAAGTCCTGTGCACTAAATGTCCATTTGTGTACGGCACAGTTTTCAAACAGCATCAGCTCCTAGTGTCACCTGTGACATTCCCTCTCAAATATCGCAGCAATACAAAGAGTTCTCAGGAACACCCTTCACTATGCAAAACAGTATGAGTACTAACTCTCGACATATAACCGCAAAGTCCCATTTCCCAAGGGAGAGGTTGTTGACATGACAGGGGAGTTACCGGGTTACTGATTGTCTTGGGCAGTCCATCCAAGGACATCATCTTCCCTCCTCCAGTCCAAGTTTGTCAGTTCTGTGTGACCACTGCTGGAGCGTACTTAAAGGGCTCACTGGTCTGCCAGCACCAAAGGAGGGATCCCTTCAAAAAATCAAAACTTTTATTAGAAAGAAACAAAGCGACACTACATGAAGTGAAACCCTCCAAGGTATAACTTTAAACAGCACAAAAAATTATGCAAACATCTTTCCTTTCCAACAAATTTACTAGAATTTTGAAATATGAAAATTAAAGGCTTGCTTAAAGAAATAAGGTGCCACCTTAACGAGGGACAGTGCACACAGGTACACAATGTCATCAGCAACTTCCTGAGATTATGTGTACTGAGACAGAATTCCACATAAAAATCATCATTGCACAGGGCAACACTGATGACTCGGTGCCTCTCAGCTGGGTCCTAACAGCCTCCGTTTGCAGCTGACCCCTGCCTGCAGACAGGGAAAAGATACACAGTACAAAAGCAGTTTTCCCAAGACAACCAACCAACCATTTTCTGTTTCTTTTAACACTTTCTGTGCTATCCCCAGATTTCCCAAGGCAGACAAGCCCTAGGGGCTGAACTTGCTTTTTCCAGTTTTATCTTGAAGTTAAGAGATACTAGGCAAAGACATAGCAGGGAAGGAAAGGGTGGTTTATGTTTCTTCCTCCAATACATACAATCCCTGAACTCCACAAGTAACTACAGGAGTTTGTAAAACTTGCATTAAATGCACAGCATTAATAAGAAATGAAACAACAGCTTGTGAGTATATCTAGCTACACTGTAATTTCTTTAGCAAATCTTCTAATGAAGTGACCAAAATTCAGGGCCCAATTGAAACTACTAAGCAATTATTTCTTACACATTGTGGAGAAACAACTAAGGTAGCACGCAAACTGTGTGGTGATGACAGGCAGAGAGGGAAAAGTCAAAGGTGAGGGTTCTAGCATCATTACAAGTGCTAGCAACATTAGAAGGGGGAAAAAAGAGCAAAAAAACCCAAAAAACAACAACAAAAAAACCAAAACAAACAAAAAAAACCCACCCCCACAAAACACCACCAAACCAAAATCCCAAGGTCTGTGACCTGTGCCACAGTGCCCTGAGGTTAATCTTCTGCAATGATTCAACCATAGAGCAGCCCATTGCAACATCTGCTTATCTTGTGGGAGATGTGAGCCAGAAGGGTATTAATTCTCCTACTCAAGACCAGTGTCCAGAATGAAATTCAGAGAACATAAAGTGCCTACCCCGCATAACTGTTTTGCCCCTTTGATCTTGATACCACATCTGTAAGGCCCTGATAACAAGTGAATGTTGCAAACACCTGTCTTGACACGGGCAGGGATGGGCTGATGACAAGGTAGTGTTCACCAAGAACAGAACCTGCAGAGGCAGGATAACATCCTGTGAGTCCTCTCCTCTATTCCTGAAACATGTAGACAAAGACCATCTGTGTCCTGTGTGCGATGTGCCTGTGAAAGATCACCACTCACTTGGTCAGCCCCGAAGGGGGGAGACAGTGAGACCTCCAAGACCCCCACAACCCACCGACTCATTTCTAGAACATTTCTGAACCTTCCTGAGCACATAGTGCGCCTGCTCAGTGATGACAGGCCCCCGCCTATGGGGCGGGCACATTGGGTTATAAAAAGGGAAAACATAAGTTTTCAGTGTGTGCCCACCACCTGAAGACTACAACTACGAGCAGAGAACATCGCTCGATCCAAGGGTGGTGATATCTTTTCTCTCTTTCTCCTTTTCTTTTCCTCTCTATCACTCTCTCTATCTCTAACTTAGTTTTCAGCACATTAGGGTAATATCATCACAAGTTTTGCTAAACCATTACCTTTCATAGTTCTGCTAAGTTTTAAGTATTATTATGACTTTTAGTCAAGCCTCTATCTTTTGTAGTTTCACTGAGTTTTAAGTAAATTTGTGATTTGTTTGAACCTCTAGAGTAATTGTCATTACTCCTGATTACCACGCAGAGAATTAAAAAGTTAACCTCACCCTAACCCACCGAGTGGGACAGGACACCATCAATTCACAACACGAACATGCAAAGGCAAGCAAACTTCATTATTTTCATTTTTAAGAGGAGGAAATCAAAATCAAAGCAAACAATAATTCTGCCTTTAGCATCGGGAAGTCCAATAGCAGACCCAAAAAAAATGAAACGCAGTTTCCAGCAGCCTGCTAACTGAACTTCCCTGGGTGTGAAGCAGCAATCTAAATCCCGCTGAAAGAGGATCCTGGAACAGAACTGACTGTCAGTCTTGGTAGACCAGGTGGCACTCTGGCAAAATGATGGGTTGAGGATTTTATTTTTTTGTTGTTATTAGAGTTTTTTTATTGAACAGGTCACATTAATGAGGGACAAAACAGGACATGGACATGCAGCTGCAAGGTTTTCCTGTAACCTTCTGTCAGAGGAACCTCTGTCAGCACATGCTACACCAAATCTTAAGTCTGCAACATGACAAGTTATGGTTTCATGACCACAGTCTTAGAAATGAAAAAGATGCATGCTTTCCTGTTAGCTCACACATTGCAAAGCAGCCACAGACCTCTTCAACAACAACAACAAAAAAAAACAAAACAAAACAAACCACCCAACAGGAAAAAGGCCAAAAAACAGCTATTAACACTCTTCCTCTGTGACAATCAGAAAATATTTTTTGTGAGGGTAACTCAGGTTAGACTTTATAATCAAAGCCAGTTTTTACACCAAGGCAAACAAGGCTTCCACAAAGAGAATAAGCGAGGTACTTTCTGGATATTTGCAAGCAATTAAAGTACAAAACACCAGTGGCGTCCCCCGGCTATAAACCCAACGCTGCAACACACCAGAAGGATACAGGACTAGTTTCACCAAGAAACCTCGGCCACTTCACCCGTAACGCGCCCCGAGGAAGCCCCGGCCCCCAGAGCGCCTCCTTCAGCC